CTCCAGGGGTGACTGGAGTAGGGAGTGTCCTTGGGGAACCGGGAGCAGAGTTCACGGGGGGCAGGGCGCTGGTCTTCCCCTGTGCACACTGCCTGCTGGGTGCTCTACACGCACACGGGAAGCCATCGTGATGAGGCGGTAGGGTAAGGCTTCCTGCAGGGTGGGCATGAGCGTGGCCTTTCAGGGCAGGGCGGGACCCCACAGGAGAGGACACAGGGTGTGTCTGGGGGACACTGTTCCTATACAAGTAAGGCAGGAGCGAGGATCAGGAGGGTGGAGGTGGGAGACACTAGGGTCTTGCTGGGTGGTCAGGTTATCCCTGAAACAGCAGGAAGGCTGCCCGTGCGCAGGAGAGAGCTGAGGTCGCAGGCTCCAGGATGCAGCTGTGACAGGAGCCACCTTTGCTGGGGCCCAGGCTGCAGCTGAGACGGTCTGGGCTAGCTGAGCGCCCTCATCAAACTTTGCCAACTCACCTGACCCAGTGGGGCCCACAAAGCTCCTAAAGCCATGTGAGCAGCCTCCGAGCCCACCACCAAAAGTTATAAAGCCAGCCAGAGGCTCAGAGACTCATCTTTCATTTTCTTGTGTGACCTGGGGTGGACCTAATAGGCAGAGAAGGTATTTGGGGTGAGAAGAAGTTGAGGAAAACCACACGACTGTGTGTGGGGTGGGCCTGACTGCTGGGCTGGGGTCAGGGAGGCAAGTTTAGGGTACTGCTCAGAGGGGCACAGGGTGGGCAGCCGGCTTGAGGCCCACCAGGGAACCTCCTGAGGCCACTGAGGTGTGTACTGAGAGGGTCACAGCCTGCTGTGGACTGCCACAAGGAGGCCCCTGAGAGAGCGAGGCATCTGAGGAGCCACACATTAGGGGAAATAGTTGCAACTTAAAGATTTTCCTGAGGGAATTCCTTGGCAGTCTGGTGGTTAGGACTCTGCACTTTCACTGTGGGGATCTGGGTTCAATCCCTGGTCAGGGAACTAGCATGCTACAAGCCACGCAGTATGGCTGGGGGGATAAAAAAAAGACTGCTGAGTATGAAAGTAACATGTGCCTGTGATAGAAAGCTCGGAAAATACAGAGATTAGGAGTAATCTCTCCACAAACCCTGCCTCCAGTCCCATGCTGATGATAGCTCTGTCTAAGTTACATGGGGCCTCCTAGGAGAGGGGGTGGCCTGGGAGGTTGGGAGAGAGCTGAACCAGGCCCCTGAAGACCAAGGCGGTTAGGTGGGGAAAGCAAGAGTTGGGGTCCCCAGGCTGAGCCCTTTACTTTCCCCACTCCCAGGTCAAATATCCCCAGCGGGGCCAGTTCCAGAGTTCATGTGGAGTCTGAATCTGGGGAACAGGAGGGCCCTTATGAAGCACTGCCTCACCTCAGGCCCCATGTGCTCAGTCACTTCGGTTGTGTCCGACTCTCTTGCGATCCCATGGACTGTAGTCCACCAGGCTCCTCTGTCCACGGAATTTCCCGGGCAACAGTAATGGAGTGGGCTGCCATTTCCTTCTCCAGGGAATCTTCCTAACCCAGGGATCAAACCCACGTTTCCTGCATTGCAGGCAGATTCTTTACCCCTGAGCCACTGGGGAAATTTAGATCCAGGGAGGTGAAGTGGCAGTTTTAAGGTCTCAAATGGCGAACCCTCATGGATTTTTGCCATCTGTAAAATAGGAACAAAGACTGGGGCATGTGTGTGTGTGTGACCCGTGAGCCCCACCAGAGCACTGTGTGTGCGTGTGTGTGAAGGGTGGGCTCCCCTGCCTGCCCTCACCTCCCTGTCCGCCCTCCCTGCAGGCCGCCTGGTGGACGCACTCAAGAACTACGAGATCATCTTCTACCTGGCAGGCTCTGAGGTGGCCCTGGCGGGGATCTTCATGGCTGTGGCCACCAACTGTTGCCTGCGCCGCCCCAAGGACGGCCCGCCCAGCCCAGGCACCGAGGGCGGGGCCGGTGACGGGGAGGAGGCGGAGGCCGAAGTGGACTCTGACCTCCCGCCCGCGGGCACCGAGGAGCCCGGTGGCCTGGAGGCCGTGGAGGTGCCGAGCCCGGGCGCTGGGCCTTTGCAACCCGAGGTGAAGGTGGAGCCAGGGCTGGACTCTTGAGCCTCTGTAGCGCCGGGTGGCAGGGACTTCGGGAGTGGGGCTTCCCCTTCTCAGAGCCCCGATGGCCCCAACAGGGCCTGGCACACCGGAGGGGCTGGGGGGGGTGGGGCGCTGTTCCTGGGGGTCACCTCCAGGGCTCCATGAGGGGAGCTGCCACCCGCAACTGCCTGGGGCCCCTGGTCCCACCAGTGAGGCCGCTGTTGCACGGCCGGTGTGAACCTGAAACTCATAAAACTGAGCTGACAACGAGTTCTGTTTCTGCATCTCTGGCTGCTCCCTGGGGTGGGGTGGGGTGGGGTGGGGCGGGGGGCCGGGAGGAAGTCCGAGAGGCTCTTCCCCAGGGCCTCTGATGGGAGCTGGCGGGCGTTGGGGACGGAGTGGCAAGAGGTGGAGGGTGGCAGGGGAAGGTGGCCCCGATGCCGGCCCCACTGTTTGGCGCTGTGCACCGAAGCCCCGCCGGCAGCAAGCACCTGCCGCTGAAGGGTCCCAGAGCGGCGGGCTGGGGCTGGATCGATCCAGGCTCCTCACAGTGTAGGTGAGCGTATGTGACTCCAGGACTCCATCTTGTGGTGGCGGCTGGGAGAGCTGGGGCTGCGGGTTGGGGAATGGCACCTACCTTGCCCCCCTCGCCTTTCTAGGGGATAAACTCGGGTTTGCTGGGGCCTTTGCTCTGGACATGTGTCCCTGTGGACACATGGCGGCTGGCCTCCCCTCCCCAGCTTCCTGGGAGTCCCAGAGAGCGCTCCTCCATGGCAGTTTTTTTTTAATTTGACTGCGGTTGGGTCTTAGTTGTCAGAGCCGGACGTCTTCTCGTTGTGGCGCACCAGCTCTCGAGTGGAGCTTCAGGGACTCAGCAGTTGCGGGCTTCTGGGTTAGCTGTTCCGCAGCACAGTGGGATCTTAGTTCCCTGACCAGGGATTGAACCCCGGCTGTCTGCATCGGAAGGTGGATTCTTCACCACTGAACCACTAGGGAAGTTCCCCGTCAGTGGTAGGAAGTCCAGTGCGGGCAGCTCCAGGTCTCACCCTGGCTGGGAAGGTTTAGGGATGTGTTTTCTCTTACATGTTCACCCTCTTCCCACAAAGGGACACTTTTCTTCCCTCCCTCCAAATCAGGTGACCAGGGCCCATGACTCCATTCATCCACACTCGCCCAGCCCCCTTGTGAGGCCTCCCCACTGGTCTCATTTTCCATCCACGCCCCGGGAAAGCCCCAGCAGATACCTGGCCGACTGACACTGTCTGCGGTGTCCCCCTGAGCCACTAGAGCACTGACTACATCTTATTTAATGAATAGAGCACTGACTGTGCCAGGCACCATTCTAAGCGCTTCACAAAGGCTAACTCATCCAGTCCTCCTAACGACCCAAGAGATAGGTACCCTCACTAGCCACACTCACAGATAGGGAAACTAAGGCCTGGGGGCTTAGGAGGTAGCTCACAGGAGCTGTGCCTGGAACCCAGGCTGCCAGCTCCAGTCTGAGCCCTTGGCCTCCCTGCTGGCTGCCCCTTCAGAGAGGTGATGCGGTCTGACGGTTCGAAGGGGGCACACGGCGTGACAGCTGACCCCTCTCTCCAAGCTCCCAATCCTGCCTGAGGATCCCACTGGCATCTCTGCCTGGGACCCACACATGCAAACCTAATAAGCAGGAAACCACCCCTTTCCTTGGCCACTGTGGGCCCTACCCACCTCTCACAGGCTCTTGCACCCCTCCCGTTCTCAGGACGAGTACAGATTTCATTTTCCAAACAGGGACACTCTGATGACGACAAGGACCACTATTAATAACCCCACTAGGATCACAGGTGTGGACCAAAGCTGTCCAGGAGAAGCAAAGACGTGGAGTGCTAGCGTGGCACTACCCACTGGGTCCCTCTCCTTGGCCCTGGCAGAACAGGGCCTGGAATGGCCAGGCACCCTTAACACTCTCCCCATTTGGGGCCTTGGATCTGCCTGATCCAGTATCTGTCCCATCTTTCCCCAAATAAAGGTTTAGTTCAAGCGGTGAAGGGTCACAGAGGAGGGAGGATACAAAAGGCTCCACAGAGCAGAAAGCCTGGGAGGCAGTGGGGAAAGTGGAGTCTTCTGAACTTGATGGATCTGAGTCCAAATCTCACTTCTTCCCCACACACCACGGGGCCTTGAGCAAGCCTCTTCTCAGCCTCAGTTTTCCATCAGTACATGGGGACAGCAGTGCTCATCCAAAGAACTGCTGTGAGGAGTCAGTGCCGTAACGGCAATGTCGGTGAACCATGTTGCCCCCCTCCATGATCAGAGAGGCAGGAGAGGGGGCATCGAGGGGAGAGAGGGTCTGAGGCCACTGCAAACAGCCTGGCTCCATCTGGGTTTGTGTTTATTCAATTCAGGCCCAGCGCCCAGGCCTCCCCAGGGAAGTGGCTGAGCCAGGGGAATAAAATAAATAAAGGCTGCGGAGGTGAGTGTGGACTGGGGTAGGGCCAGCCTAAGGAGAGGTGAGGGTACACACGAATGCTGGCCCCCAGCTCGGCTGGCCACCTGCGGGCCCCCCGACTCCCGGCAGGCTCGGGGTGGGGCCAGTGGAGATGCCCACAAGCAATGAGTCCTGGAATCCTGCCACCTCCGACCCCTCTTCCTTTCTGCCCTCTTTCTCCTCCCTAAGGCAGGTCGGGAGACCAAGGTCTCTGGCTGGATGGGGAGCTGGGGGTGGGGGGTGAAGGGTGGAGGTGGAGGGGGCCAGGGCCCAGGGCCCAGGCCACGGCCCCGGAGCCCATCCTGGGCGGGCAATCCGGGTTCGCCGTGCAGGACAGAGCAGCCGGAAGGCACGCACCCCAAGCCAGCAGGCCTTTATGCGCCGCACGCCCTGTCGTGTGGCTGCGTCCTCCCTCTCACCCTGCCCCCCGGACCTGCACCCCGAGGGGGCACTCAGGAGTTACACCAGCTCCCGCCCTTGTCCAGGGGCCCGGCAGCCCCTCTCGAATCCCTGGGCAGCTCCCCGGCGGCCGTGTCCTCCTCGTCTTCGTCCTCCTCGTCCTCGCCGTCCGTGAACTCGTCCTGGCTGAGGCCGTAGGCCAGCGTGGTGTGCGCCAGGTCCACCTCGATGGGGAAGACGTCGGCGTCACGCAGCACCGCGTAGCAGTCGTTGTAGTACTTGGACATGGTGGACACAAAGCGCTGCAGCTGGAACACGATGTCCTGGACTGGGGCAGGAGGGGCAGACAGATGGCGCCGGTGGGCCAGGCTGCCTGCGCACGGGGCCTGACCAACCCTGCCACCCCTGGGCTTCCCTTTTATGCACCTCACTGCCCCCTGGCACCCTGGGAGGGGGCCAGGCCAGCCAGGGCTGCCCAGCCCTGCGCAGAACTCAGGCCTCCCTGCTCCCAATTCAGGGAGTGGAAGAGAACTGCCGGGGCCAGGTGGGTGTGGGGATGATGGGACTACACCCCATGGAGTCCACCCTGGCCAGGCTCTGGGAAGCTTCCATCTCAGGTCTGACTCAGAGCCAGTCTGCCACGGGCTGTCCCTGGGAGCTCGGGTGAGTGCTGGACCTCTTGGAAATGGGGAGGAGGATGGCATCGGGCTGGCCCGAGGCCGAGCATGGCCTGCAGCCCCTCACCGTGTTTCTGGTCGAGCAGCTCCATCTTCTCCAGCACGTCCTTGCGCATCTGGGAGAAGCGAGCGCGGGCCTCCTGACGGCAGCGCAGGATCAGGCGGTACTCGTAGTTGCCTGTGCTCACGCGGTACAGGGGTTCCCCAAGGGCCTGGGCCCGGGGGAAGCACGTCAGGGACCCTGGGCAGGCGGGGGTGGGGGTGGCGGCAGGGAGGCTGCAGAGAACCCGCCAGCTTGCAGCCCCCCCACCACACAGCACTTTTCAAAGCTGCCACTGTTCCCCGTTTCTGAGATGCCTCCAGTTGCTAGAAGTGCTTAGGGATGGCTTTGTGAAAAACAAAACAAAAAACCCAGACTCTTGCCACATTAAATGAGTGTTGAGTCATAGAGGGACCCTGATATCAAAAATATTAAAAAGTAACAAGTAAAAAAAACCAGCCCTCAGGAGTGAGAGGAAAGGCATTCTTTTTTTCCTGCAGGAGCCTCACCAAGTCTGGAGGGCTGCTGGTCTGGGAGCAGGTGGTGGGGATGGTTCCACGGCAAAAATGGCCAGCCCTTGGGCGGCCTGCAGAGGCCAGGGAAGGGAGGGAAGGACAGCCCGCAGACCCCCCCAAACAGGAGCCGGGCCAGGCCCCCAGGCCTCTCCTGGGCAGGCCCAGGACGCCTGGGGCCCTGTGAGCAGGCAGGGAGAGGCGTGTGCGCCCCGAGCCGCTCCGGTGCCAGGGCCGCCCCCCCGCCCCACTCACAATGCAGCTGTACTCCTCGTCGTCCATCTCCTTGACCTTCAGGCAGTAGGACTGTGGGACGCGTGAGGCCAGGCTGTCAGGGGGCTGCACCGCCTGCGTGCTCACCCTGACGGCCCCAGTTCCTCCCGTGCCATCCTGGAGCCCTCGGGCACCCAGAGGAGCAGCCGTGCCAGGCCTTGTGGGCCCTGCGCACCCTGAGCTGGAACGAGCTGAGGCGCGTTGGGCAGAGGCTGGCCCCTTGCTCGGGCTGGCCCTTGCCCTGGAGGCTCAAGGTGGTGAAGGCACTCATCTGGGATGATGGCAAGGGCCTGCGAGCCCAGACTTTACACTCAACTCCCAAGAGATGCTCTGGGCTAAAGGATTCCAGGATCCAAAGAACTTGAGGAAGCCCCTGAAGACCCATGTTACACACAGGTCTGTCGAAGGCTCTGACAAGTCCTGAAGCAAAGGACCTGGGCCTGCTCGGTAGAGTAATTTTGCTCAACTCCTCTGACACAGAATTATCATTTAAACATAAGACTCATGAACATCCACGTTATAACCAGTGACCTAGTCTGATCCATTGTTAAAAAAGTGACTGAAAAGAATTCCCATGGGGTCAGAGTGGGTCCCGAGTGAGGGCTCCACCCACCCAAGGGCTCCTCTGAAGAGTCAAGGCAGGGCCTAGGCTGCTGCCTGATCCCCGAGCACCTCCCGAGGCCCCTGGTCCCACGTCCGCAGTCAAGTGTCACCAAGGTCCCTGACCTGCTGGCCATCAAGCGGCTGACTCAGGAGGAACAAACCTCCAGGTGGGCTCTGACCGCAGCAGACCAGGCCCACCCCCCACCCCCCAACCAAGAGGCTGGGGCCCACTCACCAGGTACTCGAACTTCACGTCCAGGTACTTCTTGATGGTGAGGCGAGTGTCCGGGATGGCTTTGTTGAGGTATGTGTTCAGGTCTGTCAGCATCTGGAAGGGGAGGTGGGGTGGACGCTTAGGCCCCCATGGGCAAGGGCGGGTGAAGGCTGGCTAGGGTGACAAGGAATGGCACTGATGTGTCCACCCTTCTAGTGGACTCAGGTGTCAGAGCCGAAGGGCACTCGCAGACCGCCCTGTCCATTCCAAAGAGGAGAAGACAGCCCAGGCCAAGGGTGGAGCCAGGGCCAGAAACTAGCCTGGAGGTCAGTGCTGAGGCCATGGAGGAAGAAGGACTCAACCGTGGTCAGCTGTAGCAGCCCACCCCCAAACCAGCCCCTAGATGCTGCGACACCAGAACAGGACACTCTGCTGGCCACACTGCCCCTCCCCGCTCACCCACGGACCCATGCACGCTCCATGTGACTTACCGGCTTGATGGTCTTCAGGAGCCGGATGCCAAACTTCTCGATGCTGCGGTGGGCATCAGCGAATTTCACAAAAGCCTCACTCGCAGCGGGCTGGGGCTCCCGCACCCCGATCACAGAGAACACGTCCCCAAAGGCTGCGTGACAAGTTTGTCCTGAAGGCCGCCCCTACTTGACCCCTTAACGGAGAAGCCAGGGATTTGTTGGGGAGAAGCAAGGTGGGGGGCGTGGCGGGTCGGAGGTCGAGGTCCGCCGGTGGTCTACATCCCAGGGAGGTGGGTCTAAACCTCAAGAAAGGTGGATCTACACCCCTGAGAGTTGGACCTGTATCCCCAAGGAAGGTGGGTCTACATCCAAGGAGCTGACCTCATTCCCTGAAGTGACTAGACCATGGGGGGAAGACTGGGTCAAAGCGGAGGAGGTAAAACCGTCTGGGAGCAGAGTACTGGTCTGGGAATCTGGTCCTAAGGTCAACCCTCCCCCGAAGGAGCCGGGTTACTGCTACTTCTACCTGGGCTTTGTTTTCCCATCTGTAAGATGGGGTTAACTGAAGCTACCAGACTTGTACAAAACACGACCAGGAACAAGCAAAGGGCTCGTACATTGTAAGCGGCAGTATAGACAGGACAGGGCCTGCACAAGGACCTTCTGTGCCCCACAGAAGCCTAGCGGTCAAGAGGCTCCCCGCTGGCCCCATTACCATCACACCCCCAAATCTGGCGTGAGGTCAGATGCTGCAGGGTCTGCCTGAGCCTGGGCAGCAGAAAGGCCCCGGAGCGGAGCTTGCCCTCACCCTCCCCGTGGGGGTGTAGGGAGGTGCTGAGCCCAGAGCGCAGGGTTTTTTCCAGGGTCACGCAGCAGGTTCAGGGCGTCCTTACCCCGGTGCGTCTGTGACAGCTCATAAAAGGCCCGGAGGAGATTCTTAGTGTGTTCCGTCATCCCTGTGGGAGAGACCCAAAACGAGAGGGACAGGGGCACACACTGGGGACCACGCTGGCCCAGAACACGGCCTCCAAACCCCCACCCCACCCCTGAGGCCCACACCGTCCCTGAGGTTCACTTTTCTCACTAGGTTTATGTGTGCAGTTCTTTTTTACGGGCACGGGTCACTTTTATAATCAGAAAAAGCATGTCTTTAGATCTTCTTCCTTTAAGAATTTTTAATGACTGTGGTCCTAGAATTGTGTGGGCTGGCTCCCTGCCCCCACTGCCGTCATGTTTAGAGTGGGGCTCCAGAGCTCCAGCCAGGGGAGAACCAGGGCCAGGTACTTCCCCTGCAGTGCCCACCCACCCAGGGCTGCTGGCCGGAGGGTGTGCCTGCCCACCTTTATACAGCTCAGCAGTCCGCTCCAGCTCCTCAAGCCTCTTGACGAGCCCATCTGTGGGGATCAGAGAGCCAGGGGTGAGGGGAGAGACCCAGGATCACTGGAGCCAGGCTTGGGAGGGGCAAGGTGGCCCCCAGAGGAGAACCAGGAACAGCATAGGGCAGGGTGCCAGGGATGGGGACTTGGCACCAGGGTCGGCTGGGCTCGCGGGTGTTTTGTGACGAGCCTTGTACATCCAGACACGGGGGGGCAGCAGGGCGACCCTCAGGAGGCTCCTATGATAAGCACCACCCCAGGAGGCTGGGACACATGGAAGGGGCAGAAAGGTGACAAGGATGCAGGTGCTTCCAGACATGAGGAGTGAAAACCGGACTGGGCCCTCCCCAAGGCCATGCCCAAGGGTAGCTGCCCACGGCCGGTGGAAGGCAAGCCCCTGCCTAGCAGTCAAGGACCTGGGCAGGACTTCCAACACACACCCTGCCGACGGCCAAGAAGCAAGGCAGTCAGAGACAAGCGGGAGAGATGGGACGCATCGACATAAGTCTTAAGGCAGGCTCCAGGCAGCCCGCCACCACCAGGCAGCTTAGAAGAGAGAGCAATCTGGGAGGGGAGAGCGTGCACTGGGGCGGGCCTTGGTGACCATCTTCGATGGCTTCACAGGTGTTTATCCTGCACCCACTATGTGCCAGACCCTGTGTTGGGCCAGGGAATGACCTTGGTGAGTGAAATCTGAGTGGTGCTTTCCAGGCTCCTGGTCTAGCGGTGACAGTGGCCAGGCCACGGCCAGCAGGGGCAATAAGGGCTGTCAGGTGAGGGATGGGGGCAGCTGCCGCACCTCCAGGGCTCACGATAGGAACAAGTGGATGGCCAGGGCCGGGGCTGCATTCCAGATCAGGGTGGGGCAGGGCTCCGGCCAGCAGTGACCACCACTCTCCTCCATTCTGATAGGGGTGAGGCCACACCCACCTCCCCACCAGGAGCACGGGCAGCAAACGTGGGGCAGGGTCCATGTTGGTGGCTTCCTGGCCCAGAGCCTCCTAGGACAAGGCCTGGCCTTACTGAAGCCCTCTACCCAGCTCAGTCCTTTCTCCACATGAGCTTTTTGGGGCAGATTACTTCCCCCATCTTATAGGGACAACCAAGGTTCAGAGAGGTAAAGCAACTTGCCTCAAGGCACACAGCGGGGGCTGTGCAGGCCAGGGTGCCCTCTGTCCCCCTCCCCAGTTTCCTGTGCTGACCTGGGCCAGGGTTTTCTGAGTGGAAGGAGAGGAAGAGGGTTGTAGAAGCCGGGGCTGGATTCTTAAACCTGGGCAGAGAAGGCAGTCATGTGTCAGGCTGTCAGGGAGGAAGGTTTGGGTTCTGGGGGTTGGTGTGGTGCACCTCAGAGGTCTTTAGGAGGCTTCAGCCACTGGGCTGGCCTCCAGGCCCCAGCTCCCCAGAGCCCTGGCACCCGGCCAGCCTGGCAGCGAAGGAGCCACGTAAGCGCCGTGCTGTTGTTTTTAGCTGGGTCATGGGACATCATGACAGCTTCAATTTTAGAAACCCTATTTAAGGCTGGGGAAATTGCAAGGTTTGGGGGGGAAAAAACACAACAACCAGTTCTAATTTCATCTCGACGCATGGTAACTACAGTAACAGGGATTTATAGGCACCAAGAAGCTGGAAATAGCAGCCGCCACTTTTGTACACCCTCTGGAACAAGCTCAGACCCCACCCCCGACGTCCCAGCCAATAAAGCCCAGTGCACCCAGCTGAGCCTACAATTTATATCAGTATTTATATCTGTCCCCACACGTACACAGCAGAGCTGCTGCTATTTATAAAGTCAGGCTGGTGACGGCAGGAGCGGGACTGAGTGTTTCACTGGTCCCCCCCGCCCTGGGGGGAGCGCGTGTGCACACGCATGGGTGGGTGTGAACGTGTGGGGAGACAGCGTGTGTGCACAGGCATGTGTGGGTGTGAATGTGCATGTACGCGGTTTTCCCTGCTGTGGGAGGACAGCGCGCCACCTCCAGGTCTGAGCAGGAACTGCTGGGACGCGGGCAGCAGCACCACCTCCTGGAGAGAGGCAGGGGGCTGGGTAAGCAGCCGGGGAGCAGCTGGACGAGAGGGCACAGGGTGGAACTGGGGCTGGGGTGGGGGGAGGCCTGGCTGTGTGAGAGCAGCTGGGGAGCAGTGGCGAAGGTACCAGCTTGGGGAGCTTGGCAGGAGACACCTCCTCCCACCATGAGTCTCTCATTTGTGACTTGGGCCTGTCTGTGAAGGCCGCTGGAGGACGGGGGGACATTGGCTGAAAGAGGCCTTCACTGTGCACTGTGGGCGCTCTGTGGGAGCTTGGAGAGGCCTCCAGGGAGGCAAAGAGATGGTGAGTATCAGCCCCACCAGCAGAGGCCCGGCCCAGGCCAGCAGGACACACACAGGTCTGGTGGGCAGCCGTGGTGCCCCTTCCCCGGAGGTCTGGGCCTGAGTCCCTTGGGACCAGAGGTAGGGGTTGGGAGGAGACTCACCATTGCACAGGATGGCCCGGCTCAGGCCCAGAGCATCTGCCGTCCCCGAGCTCATGTTCTCGACCAGCCGATGCTTCACCTTCTTCAACACTGGGATCAGGTGAGAAAAGGACTTGTGACGTAGAGTCTGGACCCCCGGGGCCAACCTTGTTCCATCACGACTCACTGGGAGCAACAGCAGGGGCCGTACTGGGGTTTGGGGTGGGGGTGACTATGAAGTAGGGAGGGTCCTGGCAGGGGGTGGTGGGGGTTCTGGGCTCCCTGCCCTTTTCACTCTCTACTTGACAGAGGTATTGGGAGCCTAGAAGGGATAAATATCTAAGGCGCTTAACTGAGGGTCTGGCACTCAAAGTGGCTATCGATTCCCACTGAGATCCAGAGCTGCCTAGGCCTGACACTGGCCGACGGGCCCACCAGGGAGAACCCCCTCCTCCGTCTCTCCTCCACACCCGGGAGCGGAAGCACTGTCCATGAAAACTGGCCCCAGGCTCCAGACTCAGTTACTGCATATGTGGTCAAATAGTCTTTCCAATGGGAGACTAAAACCAAAGGGTTTTAGAGGAAGAACTTTCAGGACAGACTTGACCTGCTCTTAGCCTCTTTTCTTAAAAACCAGAAGGCAACTGTGGCCCAAGGGTGGAGGAAAAGGGTGCTGGGCCCCAGAGCCAAGAGATCTGGGTGGGCCTTCACCCAGGCGCACAGCGCCTCCCTGGGTCCCGGGCTCTGATGTGCAATGAGGTGGCTGGTCCAGAGGACCTTGAAGCTACCATCCAGCTCCTGAGCCCGAATCAAGGCCCAGCCCCCTGAGCAGGAGATAATGTGTCCCAGGGCATGCTGTGGGCTGAAGGGCTGGCCTCTGCCCCAAACCTGAGGGCCAGTCCAGACCCTAAAGCTTTCTGGCAGCAGGTGGGCAGAAGAGGCCAGGGTTGAGTGGGGTGTGCAGGTGGGCAGGTGGTACCAGGCAGGGCTGGGCTGCCCTCCCCTTTCAGAGTGGTGAGGGACTGGGCCTGGTGAGCTGGAGGGCTGCCCTAGAAAGGATAAGCCTACGGCAGGAAGGCACCAGAGGAGGCGGTCAGGGGAGGTAGGGGAGTGAAACATTAGGCAGGGAGAAATCAGAGACAGGTTCCAGGGACCAGCTGCAAGGGGAGCACCCCTGGGTCCTCCCAGTGGCTTTGGATCGGCTTGGTCAGAAGGGTCAGAGGGCCTGCCACGTGACCACTGACGCACTGCCCCAAGGATACAGAATGGGAGCCTGTGGAGCCCCTGGACGCCACTGCCCCGGCCCCGCTTACCGATGTCCAGGGACATGCCCTGCTTAGGGTCGGCCTGCAGCTTGTTGTAGTGGATGGTCACCTCCCCCTGGAACACAGGACAGCAGCGCTGTGAAGGGGCTCCTTCTCCTCTCTCTACCCACCAGGCCGCGGACAATCAGCAGGGACAGGGCAGACAGGGTCCCTGGGGTCACAGAGCTCACAGCCCGGCGGTCTGTGACATTGTGTGCCCCCGCCCTCCCCCATGCCACGGCCACACCGCAGACCTCTGCCGGGTCACTTCCCCTGTCGCCCCCTTCTCAGGAGTCCCGCCATTCACCCCACAAACACATCTGAGCACCTTCTCCGTGTCGGGTGCTTGGGGTGCTGGGGAGCAGGTACGAGGGCAGCCCCAGCACCCCAGAGCCAGAGTCCAGCAAGAGAGGCTGATGCGATTCGCAGAATTACACCAATCACAGTCCAGTGACTGGACGAGAAGTAGCCGGCCTCCCTCGAGAAGGTCAGTCTCATGCTTGAAATCCTAAGACCCCTGAACTGGGGGCTGAATTCATTCAGATACAAAACAGGATTTCAAAACTGCATCCTGAAGGGAAACCAAAGTGAGCTGAGGCTGTGAGTCAGGGGTGAGTGCAAAAGGCTGCCTCGCTGGGTGCTCAGGGCCACTGTGGAGCGCGGCTGTGGGGGAGGAAGGAGCACCAAGGCGGGACCAGATCTGGGCTCTGCTCCAGCCGTGCAACCACAAGCAGCTCCTTCCCTCCCGCTGGGCACTGATAAGACGGGTGCACGGATCTCTGCCAGAAGTCGGGGCTGGGGAGTCCCCAGGCAATGGCAAGGCCATGCACACCTGCCAAGAGTTCCTGTTCTCATGGGTAATGTGAGAGGCTGGCGCAAGACAGGCTTGGGAGGACAAGGAGGGTTCTGGTGGCTAGAGATGGGGGGAATGAGAAAAGGGATCCAGAGGCGGGGCACACGCACCGCAGCTCTGTATCAGAATAAAACATGGCCCACCACCTCCCATGATGCGCTCCTCTGCCCAACAGGAAATGCCCAGGACAGTAAACTCCAGACCAGATGGAGCAGAACAAAGGGGAGAAGGTGGAAGCCGTGGATCCGGGGCTAAGGTAAGAAAGACGGACCATCAGGGATGCTGGTAACAGCCCTTTAAGACACAGAGGGAGGGAAGGAAGTGAGGGGAGGTTTGGCTGGATGGGGTGAGGGAGCCCAAACACTCAACCAAGCTCAACGGGCAGCTGGGCGCTTGACTCTCAGAGTGTTAAATTATCCTGAGGCTTTGTGCCTTCTTCAGTTTTGGTTTCGCAAGAGCTACCAGCAGCAAAAATCTCCAAAAACATGGCAGAAGGGCTGCGCGCTTTTGGGCGCGGCGAGAGTGCTGTCTGCCATTCAGGGAGAGGGGGGCTCTGCAGGGAAAGGCCTTGGCCTGCAGCAGGGCGGGGGAAGCAGGCAACAGGCAGCATGCAGTCTGGTCTGCTGAACAGGACACCAGCAGCTGGACACGGAGCTGCCCTGGGGCCCAGAGGGGTCCCTGGGTGGATGTGTGAGCCCAGGAGGACCCACAGGACTGAAGTTCCTCCAGGGAATGGCGGGTGGGGCGCCTTTTTCCCTCTTGCACCCTCTTGGGCCCAGCACAACTCAGAAGACATTTCCTGGGTGTCTACTGACCCAGGTAGGTTCACTGTGGACTTCTAGCTTCAGCTCCAGCCCTGACTGTGGACATGTTGGCTCGCCCCGAGGTGTGGTTCTGAGTCTGACAGCTCCCCTGGGAGCTCGAGGGCAGGACCTTTGAGTCGTGGTGCCCACTTTCTCACCAGGGCCCAGCGCAAGTCCTGGAATGTAATCAGCATCTCCCAAATGAGCCTGGGGGAAACTGAGGGAGCTAGGATGTGATAGACCCTGAGGCACCGAGGAGGGATCTGGGTAAGGGCCAGGCCCCCTGCAGGCCCGCTGGGGCCTCGGGCAGGCTGGAGGTCTCAGAAGGGCCAGTGTGCCCATTCCCGCAGCAGCCTTACCTTCACCTCCTGAATCATCTTGGCCACCTCCACCTTAGTTTTTCCTTTGATTGACCTGCCATTGACCCCCGTGATCTCATCGCCAGCTGCCACGGTGCCGTCCAGCGCAGCGGGCGTGTTGTCAAACACCTGTGGGTGTGGAAGGGGATAGGCGGGAGGAAAGGAAAGCTGGGAAGAAAGCTGGCGGCAGGCAGGCATTCCCTCCACCCCGACCAGCACCAGCCCTCTCCTGGTCTCTACTCTCTGTCCCTTACGTGGCAAGGAGAAGGGCAAGGAGAGAGAGCACCCCAACAGCCAGAAATGAATGACCCATGTTCTCGGGGGAAAGCGAAGGAGGACAGGAAGTAAATGCGACTGATGAGACATCCCTTTTCTGATATCAACTGCACCCAACCTTACACACCCACTGGAGGCTTTATTCCTCCAAAGTCATTTCTTTAGATTTTCCAACAACGCTGCTCGGGGCTGACTCAGAGCGCCAAAGCACCGCTGATCAATTCCTGCAACCTCACTGCAGTCCCCAAGGAGCAAGGGCCGCCCCCACATGAGCCCCTTCTCCCAAAGTTACCCCGTCCAGGGCGTCTGTGCTCACTGCCCCAATGTGGCTGAATGTGTTTGTTAAAAGGACACAGACAGGGGGAGATACTCAGGATGAGCAGGCGACAAAAGTGTGTGCTGTTGAGTCCCACAGCCCCATAGGCCCTGTGGGGCCCCAGAACGCCAGCAGCCAGGCTTACCTGGAGCCTGGAGCCTCAGGAGCCTGGAGAGGGGACCCCACCCAACAGCTCTCAGCAAAGGCCTCTCTCTCTGGGCACTGGGAGACTGGCTGACGCCCCACAGTGGAATCTACCAGCTGACTCTGCCACCACACAGAACTGTGAAACCTGTCGTGACTGAGGGCTCGCTCTTAGGTATAATGACGGGTGGGGAATACTGGGCCGTTGAAAAAGTGTCCTATGCGAAAAACACTGAAGCATTTAAACAGAAAAAAGAACCACAGGAAACAGGAACAAAGCAGGGACAATAATATGAAATATTATGAAAATAAATGGAATAATATGAAATATGTTTATATTTATATAATATGAAATACTTATATAATATTCTTATATAATATAAATACACTTCAGATATATTCATCTTATATATATGAAAATAAAAAGAAAACTACAATTAACACACAGAGATCTGAAAAACAAGAACAGGACGATGTAAAAGGATCATTTCGAAAATAGAAAAGATCTCATAGAAACACAAAACATAATTGAAATGAAAATGCCAAAGGAACTTTGGAAACCAAGCAGAGCGAAGCAAAAAAGAGATGGTCAGAAAACAAGAAAGGGAATATTAAAAGATCAATGGAGGAAGCCCAGAGTTTAACCAACAGGAAGCCCAGAGTTTAACCAATAGGAAGCTCAGGGTTTAACCAACAGGAGTCCGAAAGAGGGAACAGAGAGCAGGACAGCATCAGGGATATTATGTGAGATGCAGAACAGAAAGACATGGGGTATCCAATGAACCTGCCCCTTGAGGTTCCAGCACAATAGACAAGAGAAAGGATCATGCCAAGAGCCATCGTCATAATGCTTCAGAAAGCCAGGGACAAAAAGAAGTGCCCAAGAGTTTTGATGGACCAAGAATAAAACACATTACTGCAAATAAAGGATCACAAATAAGATTGGCATCACTAGACAGACAACTATGCTGATGGCAAAAGACAGTGAAATGATACCAGCCAATTTCTAAATGAAAATCATTTTCAACCTTGAGGTTTGTTCTTGAATTTGACCCACTCAAGTGTTAATTGAAAGGAATATGGGAATAACAACAACAACAACAAAAACAGAATGAGACACTTACAGAGACACAAGTTCTCAAAAAATTTACTGCCCTAGCAGTCTTTCTCAGAAACCTACAGGAAACATGTTCCACCAACATGGGGGAAGTAAGCCAAGAAAGAGGGATCCTGGAGATGAGGGAATCCAACCCACCAGAGGGGAGGGAAGGGGTGGTTCAAAGAGGAAAGACCAGCGGTAGAAGACAGAAAGCTGATGGGAAATGTTTGAGGTAAATGTACTGAAAACACAAGGAGAATGCAAATGGAAAAAAAAAGAAAAAAAAGAAATTACTTGTTTTAAAAAAAGAAGATTGAGTTAAGAAAAGAAACACAGGCTTTCTCAAAAAATTAAACACAGAGTTAGCATATGACCCAGAAATTCCGCTCCAGATTTATATCCAGAAGAAATGGAAACATATGTCCACACAGAGACTGGACATGAATGTTTATAGCAGTGTTATTCACAACAGCCAAAAGGTACAAACAACGCAAAGGTCCATGAACAGATGAATGGATAAACAAATGGTGGTCCATCCATTACAATGGGATGCTATTCAGCCATGAAAAGAAGGAAGTACTGAAACGGGCTGCAACGTGAATGAACTTCAATGCGACATGATCACTCAAGGGCATGGGTGGTTGTCTGGGTGATGAGACAGTTCTGAAACCAGAGATGGTAGCTGCATTCCATGAGCACACTAAAATACCACTGAGTTGTTATAATTTTAAAACCATTATTGTATGCTATGTGAATTTCACCACAATAAAAATATTTTTTGAAAAAGTACAAACACAGAAGACCATTAAGCTCGGTACATAAAACCTTACTATGCTCTGAGCTCTGAGGTGGGAGGGCCTCTGTTTTCTTGCTTTCTTAACTCTAGTGTCTGCAAAATACCCTAGCCAGGCCCTGAGAAAATATTTCCCGAACATGATACCTATTGCACTGACACAGACTGAACCAAAATTGACAAGATAACCATGCTAGGAAGATGGAGTGAGAGGAAACAGTGGTGTAGGAAGAAAGTTAAATTCTCCTCTCCTTGGCTAAGAGAAGCTGATAGATGTTTACAAGGGGCAGATCAAGAAGTAACAGGATAAGCATCACTGAGAAAAATGGGACCTCTGACCTGAATCTACAGCTAAAAGGGTGGGAAGCAGTGTTGCTTCTGGGATTGGGGTGGAGGCAGGCCTGGGAAGGGGGAAGGGAGGCAAGATGGGGTTGAGCAGGGAATTGCTTATTTGACATCGGCCTTTTAGTACTCTTGACTTGTTGAAAGCAAGTCAGAGAGTCTTTGATTAAAAATAAAACTGAATTTTGAAAAAAAAATCAATTCTACTATTTTTAATCATGGTTCATACTAAGGACAAACCTGGCCCTCAGCAGGGGATGGGGATGGAGGGGGAGGTGGCACAGGAGGCTGAACATGCAGATTTTGAGGAGGTCAGGCCTGGGGGAGGCCTCCCTAATACCTCCTGGGTCAGAGGAGGCCAAAAGTCTTGTAAAGGCCACATCCTGAGCAGACAAGACCAGATGCAAGAATCTCCATCTTCAAGGCCTTAGAAGTGACTCTTTTGCAAGATCCTAAGAAAGACTGATGTTTCTCATCTGCCACCAATGGCTACTTAGCTGAGAAGGTTAGAACAGAACAGAGTCCAGGTCCAGTTGATGTCTATGGGAGCAAGCTTCCTTCCAAGACTACAGAAAGATCACTGACTCTAACCAGCCCCACAGTAAAGAAGGCCAGTCCTCACTTGTGAGTCACAGTTGACAGAACATCACCAGGGAAGCTCCTGTGCAATAAGGACCACAAACTTGCCCAGTACTGCTGGCAGATCATCTGGGAGAGTGAACTGTCATAAATATAGAAACAACTAAAAAAAAAAAAAAGAAACAGCTGCCACTGAGGGAGTGCTGCTTAAGGGCCAGGAACTATGGGATGTCATTGTTGAGTTTACTCTTCACAGCAACCCAAAGATGCTCAGACCTATGTATTTTACATCCCCAATTTCCAGGTAACAAAACTGAGGCCCAGAAAGTTTAACAAGCTAATAAGCAGGGAAGCTTGCATTTAAACTCAGGCCATTCATAGTCTTTTAGTCTTTCTACTATGCTTCACACTTGTGTTAGTACCAAAGGTTGACGGTTTTGTTGATTCATTGACAACACTGTTACTGAAAGTTCACTCTTTGCCGGGCATTGTACGAGGTGCTGACTGCAGTGAAAAAGCAAACTGGGATCCTGCCCTCATAGTGCAGAGAGTCTGGAAAAGTGGCTAGATACAGAATTAGTGAGCAAATCCGAGGGTACAGATGGTGGTAAGTGCTGAGAAGGAAAAACAGATTGAAATGACAGAAAAACAAAGGCGGACCTACTGAGAGCGGGTGTTCGGGGAAGCCCCTCAAAAGAATGAGAAGGAGCCAGCCTTACAGAGTGGAGGAATGAACCTTTGTCATGTCCAAGTAGGGAGGTGGTTTCCCCCTCGAGCACCTCCCTCCCACCTCCAAAGCACTCAATACCTGAACAATATACAGGCAGGGACAGTACTGGGCTCCTCCTCCAATGCTGATCCCGATCAGGTTCTGAGCATCCTTCTGCAGGGTCACCTTCCCAGGCACAGTAGGGATTCCACTAGAAAGAGAAGCACGTGCTATTGAGTTTCCTGGAAGAAGGATGACTGGAGGGGATGGGGATGGAGACAGGCTCTCCAAAACCCCCAAGAGCTTCCTAGTGCTGCACGTGCTATAGAGGGAAGCACTTTCTCATTTGGCCAAAAAGGCAGCATTTTGTCATTTTCTGCTGGAACACCGCAGAGCTCTTGGATCCATGCTAATGGGGGAATCAAACCCCAAGCTGGCCATTTATCAGTTGTGGGTCTTGAATAAGCAAGTCACCCTCTCTGCATCTCAGTTTCCTCATTCATAAAATCATATAGATTTTTTAAAAAATGGTCACTTTAAAAGTACATGGAAGCCACTTAAAACCAACTCAATCAAGAGTAGGTACTCAAAAAAATAGGTCCCCCTTCCCCGTTCTTCATTCTCCCTCTAAGAATTGAGTCAGACTCTATCCTTGTCACCTTCTCAGCTACATAAATCATAGGCCACCACCTCCAGGAAGTCTTCTCCTGTTAAACTATGCATCACCCATCTCTCAATTGTTATACTCAATTACCTCTCAATTTTCACTATACATTAGCATTTATTTATGTTTTGTGGCAAATACTCTCATTTATTCTCTTATTCACTTGACAAACATTTGCTAGCAACCTACAGATGTTGAGCACCATCAGTGCTGAGGACACAGAAAGGCACTGCATTCAGTCCCTGCTCTGAGGGAGGATATATTCTAATAAGGAAAGTAACTTAATTTTTGAAAATCTCTCCCACTAATCATTTATGTTGGTAAGGAAGGTATGCTTATGATATTCCTATTCATCCTTCAAAACCTAGCTCAATTGCCACCTCTTCTGTGAAAGAAAGAAAGAAAGAAAGTGAAGTTGCTCAGTCGTGTCCGACTCTTTGTGACCCCATGGACTGTAGCCTGCCAGGCTTCTCTGTCTATGGGATTCTCCAGGCAAGAATACTGGAGTGGACTGCCATTTCCTTCTCCAATTCTAACAAGAAGACTAACTTAATTTTTGAAAATCTGCCCCACTAATCATTTATGCTGCAAAGGAAGGTGTGTTTATGAGGTTCCTATTCATCCTTCACAACCTGGCTCAATTGCCATCTCTTCTGTGACGCCTTCCCTGAATACCCCAGCAGAGGCACTGCTCAGCTGGTTGGGTTTTCCTTGTAGCCATGTCATTCTCCATGAGGGCCCTTATGGCCCTGAATTGCAATTATCTATCAATATGTCCACAGCCCCCTACAGATGGTGAGCTCCTGTTAGGGCAGGATTCATTGCAGCTTCTAAGCTTACGCTGAGAAGCAAGGGTCTATGGAACTCGGAAGTCCAGGGATTTAGGGGGCTCTGGGGTTCCTGCACTCGTGGGGCTTGGGGTAACAACATACTCACAGTTTATCCTCCTCGATGTCATAATCCAAGTCTGCAAACATGGTTCCGAGAGTTTCAGTGGGCTGGCTAACTGCCCAGCTCGGCAGGGGAATGGGGAACTGGATCCGGAAGAGAAAAGAGGGCAGGGCTTAGGAAACCAAAGTGCCGAAATGCCAACCCCAACTCCGGCTATCAGCGAGAGCCAGGCCCTCCTCCTCCCCTTCGGACGATGGGGGGCTGTCCCGGGGTGGGGGGTGGGTAGGTGATTCTTACTAGGTACAGAGGGGGACTCCAGGCCAGGGCGGGGGGCTCAGATCCCAGAGCCCGCCCCACGGGTCTCCAGGTCCTCGGGAGCTGCCTCTATCGCTCACCGGAAACGTCAGTCCCACAGACGGGTCCGGGCCAGGCTGGCACCTGAACCCACCTGCCGTTCCACCTGTCCGTGGCCGCGACTGTCGCGTCACTTCCGGCGGGACACGGAAGTCCCGCCTTCCTGCCCTGGGTATTTGCCCCGATCCCTGCAAGCAACCCTTCCCTCCCAGCCTCCCGGGGATCCCAGCACCAGGAAAGAGAATAAGTATTGACGGAAGCTCCCCCTTAGCATGAAACAGCGGAAACAGAGTAAAGGTTTGGAGAGGCCGACGGCGCTCAACCCCGCCCTTTGCCCTATGGCCGCCGCCATCTTGGTAAGGGCAGGGTTCTTCCCAGCTTCCTTAGCGGGACGCAGGGGACCAAGACGCCTGGCTGGTTGCCGTGGCAACGGAAGCATCCTCAGGCGGAGGGACCTCCAGCGAAGTTCAGCGGACTACAAACCTCAACAGGTTCCCTTTAACATTTTCAGCACCCCGTGGTCGGGTGCTGTGACTCCTCTACTAGAATGACTGTCCTGGCTGGAAGGATGCTTCGAGATGCCAGTCTAATCTGAGTTTTGCAAGTCAGGAAAAAAAAAAGTGCCAGTAAGGGGAAGAGATTTTGTCCAGAGCCTCCCACAGTTGGAGTAAGATCCAGATCGACCCTGAGACACCTGCACGCCTGTGGTCAGTGGCTCTGCTATGGACAGGTTGGATTCCCTTCCTTCCCCTTTACACACCTCCTTTCTCCAAACACAAACTAAGAGCACCGGGGCAGATGCTTTCTGTGATATTTAGTAAAAGACTCCTCACACTCCCTCTCCTCCCTTAGTCCTGGGGAGCAGCACCCTTGGGGTCCCACTGAAGGTCACAGCCCTTACCTGAGGTTCTGGAAATGCCATCAGTGCTTCCCAGCCAACAAGTCCAAATCTCCTCTCCCCACCAACCTCTGCTGCAGTACTGTGTATAGTAAGTTCCCTGGAGGGGTCGGGACTCCCAGAGCCCCAGCCCTAGCACCTGCCTCATCCAGGAAGCTTGGGACCAGGCCTGTCCAGATTCCTCCAGGGGCAGTGGAGGAAGGAGAGATGCAGAAGGGTGATTATCCACATATCCCATGGTCTGATGGGAGCCCCACCCTCTCCTTCGGGAGCTATCTGAGCGTTGGCAGTTGTGCAAAGTACCACAATAGCAATGACTTTTCCATGTACCCATGGCTCCACCATTAAGATCACTTTCACAGGATTTCACCTTGATCCTATGAGAGAAGAACAAGTACTGTCAGCCACATTGTGCAGGTAAAGAAACTGAGGCTGGGAGAGGCACTTCCCCTCGTCTCCCAGGTGGTTGGTAGCAGAGCTAGGGCTGGTATTTCCAAGTCCTATTTGCAGGCCAGAATTTCTATTCTAAAAATAGCAGTCTCCAAAGACAGATTATTTAACGTGGACTGTGGTTCTTCCACCTTACAATAGCTCTAGCTCTTTCCCAGATGCTGCCATCTTGGAGCTAGGGGATCTTGGGCCAGTCACTACCTGACTCTGAGTTCAGGTATCTGTAGACTGGGGACAGTGGTTCTCCCAAAGGTACTTGTGAAGGTCAAGATAAAAAGGAGAAACAGGGACTTCCCTGGTGGTCCAGTGGCTAAGACTCTGCACTTCCAATACAGGGGACCTGGGTTCTATCCCTGGTCAGGGAACTAGATCCCACATGCCACAACTAAGACCCTATACAACCAAATAAATGAAAAAAATTTTTTAACAAAAGGAGAAACAGATGTGAGTACTTTGGAAACAATTCACCTGACAGATGTCACTCAAGTCTCTTGACTTCCCCCTACCCCCGGCCAACCCACTTCAGTCCCTTTTCCCAAGGGAGGACAAAATGCCCAGCCTCCTCTCTCTTCTTCCTTGACTTCCCTGTCTCCCAGGCCTAGCTCTAATCCACCTCTCACAGACTGCCTTACTGGAGAGTCCTGGCTCACAGATCTTGTCTCTTTTTCTGAGCCTCTGAAACAGTTGTTATTTGGATCAAACATAGTTATTTGGCAGTTAACTATGTATCATCTTGTTAAATCCCTTCATGGCTTCCCTGAGTCAATTCTATGTTGATTGACTTATCACATGTTTGTATTTTGCCTGGGGAGTTTTATTCCCCTTTAAAACTGGGGCTTAGGGCTCATGTCTTGACAAACCATAAACTTCTCTCCCTATCTCTCTCCTTCCTGAGTTCCCTTTCTGTCCTGACTTTATAATCCCTGGTACATCCGCCCTTCCATAGGATGCCAGGAAGCCATCAACAGGCGTCACTGTGACAAACTTGAAAAAGAAAATCAGGGTGCTTTGTAACACATGTTCATGTGAAAATACGATGACTCACTTTATATTTGTCAGTGGATGGTTCTCCTGGGTCTGACCACACAGCATGGGAACCTGTTCCAGCCAATTCACGGGGTCAGCTTGGGACCATGAATTCATTTGAAGGGAAAGAAAGTGTGAGTACCTTGTTCCATTGCCATAGTAAGCACTTCTTGTCTTTCCAGCTGGACAGGAAGTCCCTGGGGGCAGATCTTGTCCTTCTCTGTATCTCCCACAGAGCCTGGCACGGCACCTGGCTGCAGACGACGCGCTGTAATCGTAGCTGTGGTTTTTCATGAGATGGGATGTTCTTTGGGCCCTGCAGGAGAGGGCTGGGATGGGCAGGGAGGGAGAGTGATGATGAGGGCCTGAACCTGGATGGTGGCAGTGGCCAAGCTTCCTCCACAGGGCTGGAATCACCAGACTGAGTCTAGGCCCTGAATTTGAAATGTGTGTTTTTAACAAGAAGCAGCATCCACACACAGAGGCTTTACCACAGACCACAGCTCTCCCAGTCCAAGATGGTCCCAACTTAGATCCGAGCTCTCTGGTTTCAGAGCTTGGAGTTCTCAGGCACACCAACCTTTGGCTCTGAGACGCGATGCCTGGAGAATGGGGGTGATGACCCCCCCCGAGATAGAAGCTATGAAGATGAAGATGAAACAGATGCAGAAATAAGCATGAAAATGCCTTAAGAGTGATTCACTTGGCACAGACATCAGAGGTTTTTATTGTTATTCCTCATTATGATCGTTTTGTCCAACTACTTCAGAGGGTTGCTCAGGCTCCTGCATCAGACTTGCCTGGGAAATATGTCATATGCAGGCTCCCAGGCTCTGTCCCCAGGGAAGGGGGGAACCTGAAGGTTGCATTTTCACAAAGTTTCGTAGGTGGCTTCAATGCCTCCTGCAGTTGAGGACCACCATGTCACAGGCTCAGAATGGACTGTGTCTGTGCATCCTCAGGGTGGATCTATTCAGCTACACCAATGATCCCTGCCCTGGGGGCCTTGCCATCTAGAGGGGTTTCTGCCCTGGCCAAAGGCCAGTGAAGGGTTCCTGGAAGAACTGACATCTTAGCTGAGTGCTGAAGGAGGTGGGACCCAGGTCGAGAAAAGCGGCAGAGTGACCCAGGCAGAGGACACAGCTGTTGCAGGCTATAGGGGGTACAAGGCACAGTCCCCATACTCAAAGAGTCACAGCGTGGCAGGGGGGACAGACAAGTGAGGGCAGCGACAGGCGTGACAAGACCACCACCAAGTCCTGACCAGAGGGCGGGAGGAACTGCCCCTCCCTCTCCTGCTATTCCAGAGACCATCCTGGTAGGTGGGCGACCTCTGGCCCAGCCTTGCCCCGAAAGGTGTATGAATCTAGGCAAGTCCTCCCTGGGTCTGGGTCTCCTCCATGATTCTGTCTTTCGAGTTCTGAGCCTCAGATTCAATCCGGGAAAAGCCTACCCCCAACAACCCCACTGGAGGAGGAGAAAGGGACGACAGAGGAGGAAATAGTTAGATGGCATCACCGACTCGATGGACATGAGTTTGAACAAGCTCCGGGAGTTGGTGATGGACAGGGAGGACTGGCGAGCTGCAGTCCGTGGGGTTGCAAAGATTCGGACACGACTGAGCAACTGAACTGAACTGAACAACCTCGTATTCCTGGGGAAGTGCTGCCGCCCAGTGGCCACTGGGAGAAAAACTTCCTGGGGAACCAGAACCCCCATTCTACTATTCCTGTCAGTATCACTGCCCCGCCTAGCTCAGGGCTGGCTGGGGGGAGTCTTTGTAGTCTGTTGGGGATGGGTGCAGAGCTGTGCCCGACATGCCCACTCCTCAGTGTTGCCATGGCCCCAGCTCCAAGGCCTGTCTCCTCACTGACTCACCGCTGGCATCATGGGCCCGTGGAAAGGTCAAGAAACCAAGGTGGGTGGATTTGGATTCAGTTCATCAGCAGCGTAGAGATTTAGAGGATGGGTTTTAAAAGCAAACAGATGATCGCAGTATTACTAATAGCCAACATATATTGGGCATCTCCACATCCGGGGACAAGAAAAGCAAGGTCCTGCTCCGCCAGAGCTCACGTGAGTGGGAGAGGCAGGCATTGGCCCCAGTGACATCACCTACTTCAGAGCGCGGAGTGGGTCCCCAAAATAAAAGGGGAGCCCAGTGTGAAGGGGTTTGACTGCGGACTCGTGGGAGCTGGTGGGGGGGCAGGACAGAGCGTTGGCTCCACGGCAGCTGTGTAACCCTGGAAATGTCCCTTGACCTCTCTCAGCCTTAAGAAGGGTAAAATGTGTATCATAAGAGCCCAAGTGTTCATTTCAAATTTGAGTCCATGACCAGAACTCTCCCTGCCCAAACCC